GTAAGTTTTATATATCTATACATCTACATATATATGTATATACATATATATATATATATATATATATATATATATATATATATATATGTATATACATAAGTATCGTTGAAAGTGAATATTATGGAGAATTTGTCTTCTCGCGGTTCTCGTTATTCGAACTTTTCAAGCAACCCTTCGACACATTTGTTTTATCACTATAAAACCGAGTCGTTACGATCGTGTTCAACGGTCTATGACGAAAGATAGCAAAAGAACGAAAGAAAGAGAGAGAGAGAGAGAGAGAGAGAGAGAGAATGAGAAAGATATAAAAAGAGAGAGAAAGAGAGAGAGAGAAATAGAAAGAGAAAAGTCATGTGAACGCAAAGAACTGCGAAAAACGAATCGATGCCCGCATCATTCGGCTTCCTGAACACGTGGATGGATCCTTCGAACGTAAGGTAACATCGTTAACGTCGTAAACGCGTCCACGTGGTTAAAAGGATACGGATAAAATATAACGCATAACATCTGCCGTTTATTAGTATTAGTATTAGTATTAGTATTAGTAATAGTAATAGTAGTAGTAGTAGTAGTAGTAGTAGTTACAGTAGTAATAGTAATAGGTAATAGTAGTAGTAAATAGTATACTAGTATAATCAGAAACGAACGAAATTAGAATGCAAGTCGTATGCTAGAAGAGAAACAAGGAAAGTGTGCGCCTTGTCAGACGTGTTTCCGTTCTAAATTACACTCGACCGTAGATATCACCTCTCTCTGTCTTTCTCTCTCTCTCTTATTCTCTTTCTCTTTCTCTTTCTCTCTTTCTCTCTTTCTCTAACTCTAACTCTATCTCTCTTTTTTATCTATCTGTCTATCTCTATATTTTCTCTTCGAACATTATGGACATCTCTCAGAAATATTTTATTATTAACGAATATATTATTATTATTATTATTATTATTATTATTATTATTATTATTATTAGTATTATTATTTTAAAAATAATAATTTAATATGTAATAATAATGATATATTGATCTCTATAATTTTCTTTCGAATATCGAGGATATTCATTAGAAATATTTTTTAATATTTACAAATTTATTATATATATATATATATATATATATATATATATATATATATTTAAATATAATAATATAAATATAATAAATATAATAAATATAATAATATTTATTCCTTTATATATATTAAAGTTTTTAATAAAATTATGATAAAAAAGAATGAAATAATAAAATAATGTAATATTTAAAAATAGTATATGTATGTATATATTATACTTATTTAAAAAATAATAATATATATATATATTAAATTAATAATAAAATCATAATAAAAAAAAGTAATAATAAAAAATAATATATATATATATATATTATTTTTTTATTATTCAATAAAATCATTCTTTTAAAATTGATTATGAATACTTACGAAATTAATGTTTTAAAAATTAATCAAAAGAAAAAACAGAATAAGGAAAAAAGAATAATAAATAAATCAATAAAAATCTTGAAATCAAACACACACACACACACACTAAATATATATATATATATGTATATTTAACGAGTATAGTATAGAAACTAGATTATGTTTTCTCGCTTTTGCCCGGAAACGTCGGACTAATTATAAACATGGCGACTCCACCATCAATCAATCCCGTGTTCAGTGATGCCATGGATTCTCGTGTTTTCACGACGTGTTTCCGAACGTCCCATATACACGACATAGTAATAGTAATAGTAGTAGTAAAGTCTTTGAATCCGAAAGACCAACGGTGCTATTATTGTAACCTCTATCTTTTCCCCCTTGGCAATAATTGGACGACGTTGGTTAGGGATCAACGAATTTCTAAATTGATCTAGTAGATCGCTCTTTTTATCTAACCGTATCTTTTGATTATTTTATTTTAAACGAATGAAAATCTTTGATATATTCTCTCTCCAACCCCTACATTCCTCCTCCTCACCGTCCTCTATGATGAAAAAAAAAAAAAAAAAAACGAGTTGTCTCTCTTTTTTCTTCTTTCTTTTTTTTTTTTTTCTTTAATTAAAATATTTATTATTACGATTTTCAATTGATCTATCGAATTTTTTTTCCAATGAAGCAATACAAAACGTACGATCGATCGATCTTCTTTTCCTTTTTCTTTGTTCTTTTTTTTTTTTTTTTGTTATTTTAATAAAATTATGTTCGGCACAATTTTCTATTTTCTCTTTTTTTTCTTCTTCTTCTTTTACACAGAATCGTATTATTTAATCGCTATATAAAGAAAATAAATAAATAAATAAACGAAATAAATATTTTTCCTTTTCGTTTTCTTTTCTTTGTTTTTTTTTTTTTTTTATATATATAGCGAATAACTCGAATTCTATATATATATATATATATATATATATATATATATATATATATATAACCATCTGTCCTCTCCTCACTTCACCTCCAACATACCACAATTATAATGGATCTCGAAAGAGGTGGACATCGTATGTTCATCGAATAAATACAACGACAGGAAGAGTTTTTAGGGATCGTTTGGGATCGCAGTAAAAGATCGACGCGCGATTCTTCGGGTCATAAATCGTTCGAAAACATTATACCTACATACCTCTAGACACACATATATACACATACAAACACACACACACACACACACACATATACATATATATCTATACACACATATATATATCTATATACATAATATAATGTATTTTGAAATCGATCGAGAGGAGGACGTAGTCGAGATTAAAATTCAGCTATTGGAATGAGAACTAACAGTGGGAGGGGGGGAGGGAAAGTGTATGGTAGGGGAGTTATAGGGGGATGAGTATAGTATAGGCTGGTGATAAAAGACCGCGACGTTTCTCGTAGTCTGTCTGGAGATATCCGATCCGATCCTATCCGATCCAATCCGATCTTTCTCTTCTTGTTACTCTTCTTATTATTATTCTTTTTCTTCTTCGACTTCTTCTTCGTCTTCTTCTTCTTCATGGTGTGGGTCCACCACCCGCGGGGTCCGTTATTGTGCCGGCGTTGCACAGTGGTATGCCTCCTCCACCCCTGGCACCACACACTCCCGATAATTCAACGTTAACGGAGCGCATAACGCCTTGGCACACGGTTAACCATATAAAAGACCATTCATCTTAAACGCGGCGGGTATTAGTCGAGCCACCACCAATTTGTGTTTGCTATCGGCACTCTCACCAAATAGCCACTTTTTCTCACACCTCCTTTTGATAAGTGTCTGACGGAAATATTCAAAATGAGAAAGAGAGAGAGAGAGAGAGGGAGAGAGAGAGGGAGATATATATATATATAATATATGTATCGATATACAGGTAGATATGTAGATATACTTTGTTAAAAAAAGGTACATAATGGATATGTAATTATTTATGCGAAGACATGATGATGGTTTTTTGTATTTCTCCTTTTTTTCTCTCTCTTTTCTTTTTTCTTTTTTTCTTTTTTTCTTTCTTTCGTTTTTTTTTCTTTTCCTTTTCTTTTTTTTCTTTTTTGTTCCTTCTTTCTTGTTTTTTTTTTCTTTTCCCTTCGATAATAATAATAATAATAATAATTATTATTATTAATATTATTATTATTATTATTATTTTTTATTCCCGTAATAATGTATTTTTTTTTTTGTCAATTTGATAACGCATACATAAATGAAATAATTGTCGAAAGCAAGAATGAATGGTTACGTGTTTCTGGAAAAACGGACTTAAAAAGAAAAAAAAAAAAAAAAGAATAAAAAAACTTAAAAAAAAAAAATAAAAGAATATTGAAACAAATGGAAAGAACCTGTTTTTCCTTTTATTTTTTTTTTTTTCTTTCTCTTTCTCTCTTCTTTTTTAATGCCAATCACAACATCACAATTTAGCTGAATATTTTAAGGACGATAGATATTAATAAATATTAATGAATATATCTGTAATAATCATATATATATATATATATATATATATATATATATATATATATATTTATATACAAGGACATAATACCTATCTAATATATATATTAAAATAATTATATTATAAAATTAGAGATTAAATATAAATAGTATATAGATAGATCATTCATTGTACTAAGAGATACAATATTAGGATGATATAACAATGGGATATGAGGTTGAAACGGAGAGTGGATGATAATAATTATTTACAGTGATATTGTTTTTAGTATGTATTATATATATATATATGTACACACACACACATACACACACACATATATATATATATACTCGTTGATAATATCAGATGGACGTGCCGATGGGTTTAAAGGAGAAGCACATTACGCGTGTATATGAATTACATTCGCGATTGAAACTCGTTCGCTATAGAAAAAGAGAGTGAGAAACGAAATGCCACGTAGAAGAAAGAGTGAAACAGACAGAGACAAACAGAAAGAGAGAGAATGAGAGAGAGAGAGAGAAGGAGAGAGAGAGAGAGAGAGAGAGACCTCAGGCTGTCGGAGATTTGCATATTAAATGGCTAGAGATTTATAACGGTCCCGACTGGAAAGGTGCCAACGATAGCGACGATAAATAAGAAGAAATGGCGTTAGGCTACGCGAACCATTCGATTGGATAAATTTTGCGTGGTCGCGCGTCTTTTGTTCGTCATCCCCCCACCTCCTCCCCCCACACCCCTCTTTTTCTTATAACACTCGCTCACCTTACCCCTTCTCTCTTACCCCAACCTATCTAACTCTATCCTCTTGATCCTAACTCACCCTAAAAACATCCAACAATATAACTCCGTTAATAATTCCTTTCTCTCTCTCTCTCTCTCTCTCTCTCTCTCTCTCTCTCTCTCTCTTCTCTCTACTGTGCACAAAAACGATCTAATGCGTTTTATCGATCTCTTTTCTCGATTCAAATTATTATTACGCTCTTTTGAATCATTCGTCCGATTGAAAACACGAATGAACGTACACCGATACAATCACGTGCAATCACGTACGCAGTAGATTGGTATTTTACA